AATACATGTATTAAAAAGAAAAACTCACACAGGACAATTTTACCCTAATTCATGACCCTTCTTCGATTTCTTTGAAAAAGGAAAGAGCAATCAGACAGGAAACAGAGCGAGACTCACACACCTACTGGTGAAGGAGGGATTTCTAGTCCTCCCACTCCAGACCCGCAGTCGGTCACCCTCTCCCCCTGCTTCCCAGCGGGCTGTAGGAGCCTCGGGAGTGGAGAATTCCTTCGGAAGAAGCGCCTTTCCTGGAGGGATGCGCCGACGGGACCTGTGCCACAGCCCGACAGAGCTCTCCCAGCGAGCTGCAGGCCACGGCTCCAACTTCCTCGTTCCGAGAGGCTTCACAGGAAGCCCAGAGTCAGCGAACTGCTCTCGCACTCGTGCAGACTTCCTCCTTGCTGCCGACGCCCGCAGCCCCCTCCGCCACGGAGGCACAGGAAACTCGCGCTCTTGACACATTTCTGATACCCTCTCCCCCAGCTCGCCGACGCGCAGACACTCCCACCCAGCGAGCCGGTCCAGGGACACAGCTGTCTCATGGAAACTGCAGGGAGAGGAAAGTCACGGTGCTTCCGAACAAGTCCAAGGGGCAGGTGTTTCCATGGACAGCCCCCGAACTTAGAATTTTGCAGCTTCCTAACTTGTCAGGCTTCTAACCCTGCGCCACGCACTGCCCATGCCTACACATCGCGCCCCTATAGTGCCCCCTTGTGGACACTGACATGCCCACGCAAACGTGTGCCTCCCACGGTCCCATCTGTATGTGTACCGACCTGCATCGCTCCACGGAGAGCAGTTTTCAGTGGATTCCACACCCACCTTACAGACAGACTAAAAGATACCAGTCCATGCGATCTGATTTACTCACATGTCTCTAGGCCCAGTGTGGAAAATCCATCCACTCGTTTTCTAACAGCATCATTCAATTCAGGGTGGCAGGGGGAGGCCGAGCCTATCCCAGCAAGCTACAGGTGCAACATCCTGGACGGGACACCAGTCCATAACAGGGCAGACACAGACACGCACACACTCAGACCAGGGATAATTTTCCCAGAAGCCAATTCACCCACCAGTATGTCTTTGGACTGTGGGTGGACACAGGGAGAACGTGCAAACTCCACGCAGATAAGAGGAAAATCCTCTGTGTTCATTGATGAATATTCCAGGAGACAATCAATGAAACTGTCACGATCGCTACTCCTCCTCTTAAGGGCGCTCCAGCCCTTCCTTGTTCTGGCCCATTACCTGCACCTGTTTCTGATTTCCGTTCCACCTTAAAAGCCAGACGCAGACGTCACTCCTGGTTCCTCATTGAATTCGGCTTCGTGAGAGCCCAGGTCCTGCTGCATCTGGCTCCGTTATGCTTTTAACCTTCTGTTCCTGATTCCCCGCCCCACCGGTCCCGACCCGGTTCATGGTTTTGTTCCCTGGATGGATCCCCTGGCCTTGGACTCTACCTTCAGTCTTGGATTACCCGTTTGGATGTTCTCATGGATTGTTCACCCCGGATTCACTCTCCCTGGACACCTGCACCCCTCGGACACGCCCCCCGTCTCCATACCCTCTCCTGCATGACTTTTTCCCCAGTGTTTCCTCACAATTCCGGATCGTGTCGTCTGCATAGGGCCCAGAAAGAACTGTTCGTGACAGAAACCTTTAACTTAATGCCTCTTGCAGCTATAAACGCCTGTAAAGTTGAGATATTTCCAGGAGTCAAAGTTCTTAATCCCAAGCACCATCTTGAAAAGCAACAGGCTTTGGGTGAACATAAAGGACAGAAAGGTTACGCAGGAAAAGATGCCCCTTAGTAGTTAGAAGTCAACTGATCCAAGGATCTCCTTCATTTTGTGAAAGAAGCCTAGGTCAACTAAAACAACATGGCTGGGAGACTTGTTCCACTCTCCTGCCACCCTTGACGTAAGGACGTGCTTCCTAATGTACAGTTTTAAAAACACCTCCATGTTTCCACTTGACCAGTGAAGTGAAGTCCCTTGAACTCCTGATTGTACTTTATTGCTCTTCTCTTCTTTTCTATAAGGTGGGGATCAGAATTGTACACAGTATTTTACTCAGGTCTCACCAGCGTGTTTTACAATTGTAATATAACATTCCCTGTGTTAAATCCTACACTTTAAACTCTGTAAATGAGTCCTAATCAGATGTTTCAAGTTCATCTTCTCCCAATGCGGATCGATAGCTTGTTTGTACAGAATGAAATGGACATTTCACGTTATGTTCTATTAAATACTGCACAAGACACAAGAGATTTTACTTTCAAAAACTGTTCATATATAAAAATAATCCAGTTCATGTATTCATTTAAGACTCACAAAATTTACAGATGATTTCAGAAATTCATGTGCTCTAAGGATGTTCTAGACTAATAGTAGAAATATTGGATCTCCATTCGGACAGGCTGAAAGAAAACTCTTTGAGAAGTGACACCAGGCCTGACCTCCAGCTCCAGACAGGCTCAGCTGTGGCACAGAGCACAAGCAAGATTAAATATTAACAGCAGACAAAATTGCATAATTAATATTTCAGCAACAGCAGTGAGGGCTGGGAGACAGCCTCCAGACAGATCTCATCTCCTCCCTCTGATGTCTGCAGCCTGGCTGTCCCTGAACACCAAAACAACTGAACACCTGAACACACCACAGACCTGGGCACCCACTGCAGCCAGGGTCCTTCAGAGCTACAGCATCACATGATTCTGTCTGCAGTCCGGCTGTCCCTGAACACCTGAACACCACAGCCTAGCTCTCCCTGAACATACCACAGCCTAGCTCTTCCAGAACACCTGAACACACCACAGCCCAGCTCTTCCAGAACACCTGAGCACACCACAGCCCA